CAGTGGCTAAATGAATAAGCGTGAAAAATAGAAGAACATGTTCTCCGAGTATTAAAGAAGATAAATCTTACAGGAATCCATTGAAGGAAGCAAGATGTTTAGGCCAGACAGCCTTGAAATAATATCTTTGAGCAAAAGATTAGTCAGCAAGGGATATATTTCTGTTTGACTCCTTGATTTATTAAAATCAGATCAGCAATACATACTTTTGAGTGTGTTTGAATTTTGGCAAAGGTCTTCTGCCCTGTTGCATTTTCTAACTAAGCACTTGGTGATATCTAGATTACTACTCTCAAGTTTCCTTTCTTACTACTTCTTCAAAGTTTAGTTTTTGCTGTTCCTGTCCTTTGCTTTAAACAGTGCAGGGTGTTGACTCCAGTTTCATGGGGAAGTGATTTTGCTTCAGGCTTAAGTCTACAGTTTCAGGGAGCTAGCCAAGGTGCTGAAATTATTCAGGGGGCAGGAGCAACACCTGGAAAGTCTGGATTACAACCTGGAGCAGATAAAATCAGAGACACTAGTTCCCACTGGAGGTGAATATGTAATAGATTTGTATCTAGAGACTTAGTCATTTACTTTGATGCCAGCTCTGAATGGATTTCAGAACAAGTAAGCATATTCTTTTTTGCCTAATTACCAATTTAAAGAGTAGTCACAATAAAGTAGCCACAAGCCCAGCACTAAACAACTACTGTATTCTATGCCAGTGAATATACTAAATAATCCTAACATATATTTTTTGCAGATACTATTTCCCCCAGTTAACACAGAAAGGAAGAGGGAGGGGAGTTCTGTGCAAAAGGAAGGGAGAGAGGAGCCTATGATCTGAGGGCTCACCAGTCACGTAATGGGAAACCATAATCTTGGTACTGTATTTATGCATAATCTGCTGCAGCTAATTGACAGTGTGCCAAGAATGAGACCAAAATATACCCCAGTGCCTTGTCAGTTATCCATAGTTAGCTACATCTAACATCAATATGGAACTGGGTGCTGTTTCTCTTTTTGGCTGAGCTAGCCCTTTAACCTGATTCCAGTGTGAATTATAGTAGAAACTTTGAGGAATAGAAAATCAACATACTGACTCACTTGGAAAGTTTCCATAAATAGTGGTGGTCTCCTCCTGCAGCTTCAGTGCCGCCATGTGTAGAAGGGCAACAAAGCCAGAGATGGAGAAGAATGAGCCTAGAACATTGCCCTGCTCACATGAATATTCTACACATTTTTAACTGCCCCAGTAGAGCTTTTATGTCTTCACTCATATTGGATTATACTGTAATCCTTCCATGGATCCATTTAGGCATCTCCTCAAATAATATAGTTCTCCATTTTATGGTTTGCCCTTTCCAACCTTTACTGCATATGCCATCCACCCATATTTTTTAATTCACTGATGTTTCCCTTTTTATTTTATTTTATTGATAGGCATTTTTCATTTTTATAGGTATTTATAGTTTTTAAAATTTATTTTAGACTTTCAGAAGATCTGTTCACTTGAACACTGGGTGGAGATTTTTTTAAAAAAATATTTAGTAATGAAAGGTTGAGAAACTAAAAGGGAGGGGTGATAGAAAATGTGAGAGTCTAGAAAAGCAGACAGAGCTGTCGGGGAAAACTCCTTGGATCTGTCAAAATAAATAGAGCAGAAATCTTTCTTGCTGGCCTTTGTGTTGTTATTATTAGAACAAACACGCCTGACTGAGCTAAGCCATACTACCTTCCAGCATCCATATACAGCTCAGATACAGTATTAAAAAACATCATCATCATCATCATAACCTTGTCAGTTATCCACAGTTAGCTACATCTAACGTCAGTGCAAAATATATGACTTAGAAAGGAAATTAATTGTTGAAATTATGGAAGAATTAATACAACAGATAGTAGCTATAGCAAAGAAAATTGAAATATATGATGGAAGCTTGGAACAATATAGAGAAAACAGAGTTTTGAAATGATCAATGATTACTTTGCCTTCTAGAAGTTTTGGCCTACATCTCTCATATACCTCATCCAGTATGGCTACTGGCAAGAGACTGTTGGAATTGTGCTACATAGGCCAGAGGTTCCTCCTGCTAGGATTCAAGATTTTAACACAGAGATCACCTTCAAAGTAATGATTCCCACATGCCTTTGGAGGTATTGATTCACATAAGTGGTCTAGAGTTAGGGGATGTCTTATCACACGTAAAGGCCAGCATTCTGTTACTCATTAGTGAGGAATTGGGCTTTTCATAGTGGTGAGAATTGAATTTTCAGCCAATTTTTGTGTGCATTTGGTCATTTCTGCATAAAATTGCCTGGTTTTCTGCAAAATAGTATAGTTTTGCATTGACTGTGCAAATTGCCAAAAATTAGGCTGATTGTTCAAAATTGTAATTTTGCATTGACTTTGTAAATTGCTGAAAATCATGCTGATTGTGACTTTATTTGTGAATTTCAAACACTAAATGGGTCATTGGCAACATTCCCTCTTAAGGTGCATGGCTTTATGTGTATGCAACTCTGCCCCTTCTATGCACCTTTTCCTGCCCCCTCTATGCACCACACACCCACAAAGAGCATTTCAAGCCCCTTTGCTTGTGGTCATAGTACCATCCCATGCGGGGAGGTGGGGTCACACAGGGGAGCAGAGTTACATGCAAGAGGGACAGAGCCCCACCCAGCAGGGCTGAACATTAGAGGGAACATTGGTCGTTGGTATCTTTCATAATAATCAGTTCGTCATTTGTGCTTTGTTTCTCAAAGGAAGAGACTGGAGACATTTTACATAAATTTCAGAGACCTTGAAACTCTTGGTCTTGCTCTCTAGGGAAGGCCTTAACATAGAGCCATGTTTTTAGTTGAGTTTTGAATTTTCTACTGAAAATAAGGAATCTTACAGGATCTAGATCAACAAGAATTTAATGATTTTTTCCCCGTTTTAAACCATAGCCAGTGGCCCTTATGGCTACAGGATTCTTGGACCTATACTCCAAAAAAAGTAATTTGGATAAGCTCTAGAGAAAGCTGCACTACAGGCATGGTGCTGGTCCAATTTGCTGCATAATAATGACTGCATCTTGACAAGTCAATTCTGACTTGCGGTAACCCTTTTCAGAGTTTTCTAAGTAGAGAGTACTCAGAAGTGGTTTACCATTCCTTCTTCTGAGGGCATTCTGTGGAACTTGCCCAAGGCCACACAGAGGCAATGCGGAATTGAACTCCCAACCTTTGGTTCTTTGAAGCCAGATATCTAACTCATCGAGATTAAAGCCAAAATGATGCTCACCTGATAGGGTCAAAACTTTAATAAGTCTTGCTATGCCATTCAGACATGCTTTCTTCAATTCTATACCCTCCCTGGCCGTAGGATAAGATCATAGCATTCTGCACCCTAGTAAGACCAAAAACGTGCATTCATATTCCTGAACTGAGTCCTTGGACTCAAAAGAATGCTAGTTTTCTCTATGCTTTGTGCTTCACATTTTGCAGCTGCTGAAGCCAGCATTGACCATTGCCATGCCATCTGCAGGATTCTGCAATTGTCCAAAAAGTAACTTTCCATCCTCTGCCTTAACCTAGATTACCCAGTGCCAGAAGTTAATAGGTATTAAGAGTTGGGTAGGTCGGTGTCATAAACCAGAATAATGCTACCCAATAAATACGCCAGTTTCCAGTGGCATGAAGGAGGGATAGATGTGGGACTGGACAACATCACCAGCGATGTTGGCTAGGGTCTGTAATGTTAGAGCATCCAGTATGCCTTATTCTCCAGCTTCTCTATCCTGCCATGTCTCTTCTTACCATACTATAATTTGTGGCTTTTGCTGTATTTTCTCAGTACTATGTATCCTGTGAAGTGTTGAGGGGATGTTAAGGTGTGTAATTAGAAGGTAATGATTATAACTGTGACCCAAGACAATAATAAGTAATCAAAGGAGTTTTTTTTTTAAAAAAAAAATCAGAGTTCTTCATCTTTTGGGTATAGAATCTTTTAAGGCAGCTTAAATTGTTTTTATTTTATGGATATTTCCCAATTTGCCCTGCTCAGTATCAGCGTTTAGCAAGACGTTATAGAAAAGGGATGAAATCTGGTTACTCACTGAGGCAAATAGTGAGTCTTCAGTTGTATTTCTGTAAAGTTCAGAGAAACTGATTTTTTTTCTATTTACATCCATGCCACCATGAATGTCCTCTACTTCTAATGCAAATGTACTTTTGAGTTCACTTATGGATTAGAGAAGTTACCAATTGGATTGGCAAATGTCATACCTTATCAGTGAATTATGAATAATTTCAATAGTTTGTCATTTATTGTGTGAGTGTTATCACATTGTTGAAACATATTGTGATCGTGTTACTGCATTTTCTGGTGGCTTCCTGATGTTCTAGGCAAAATGGCAAGACATACTGTGCTTCTGTCAATGACTATAATAACATATGAATAAATAGGTGGCTATTTTACAGTATTGTATGGTAAAACTATTATGTGGCTAGTTTCTGTACAGACAACATGCTCAGAATGTTTTAATGGGCTTATTTCCATGAAATTAGATCCTTTTATGAATAAAAGGGTTTAGTTAATCCTTCATCACTTAATAAATTCATATTATCTGAATATCTGTTATCCCAATATCTAACTACTAGCAGAAGATATTGTATTTGTATATTCACTATTGATAGGTTTAATGTTGTCTTTTAATGATGTAAGCTGCCTTGGGTCCTTTTTAAGGAGAAAGGTGGGGTAAAAATAATTTAAATAAATAAATAATAATATTGTTTAATCCATTCCTGAAACGACAGTGATGGATTTAGGGACTCTTGTGTTTCAGATGTTTACGGACTTATGTCACATCCCAAAATCACTTTCCTAGCTTCAAATTATTGTATGCTTTGATACTATATATTACGTCTTAGTAATTTGCAACTTACATTGTTCTTTGAACTGCATTTTTGCAGGCTCTACTGAATTCCTTAAATGAGACATAGTAATTGTCTTTTTTTCTTTGATTCTACAGCTGTCTCGAACCTGGATGCAGAAAGTAAACTGAGTGTCTATTTCCGTGCACCTTGGCATCAGCAAAGAAACATTTTCCTTCCTTCCACCAGGCCAGCTTGTGTGGAGGAGCTGCATCACCATGCAAAGCAAAACTTGCGAGCCTTGAGAAGAGGTAATATGTTTCTGTGCATCTGTCTGTCTGTCTGTCTAGCTATCCATGTCTTAATCCCATCTTTCCATTAATCTCCCTTTGTGTAGTACACAGGGGTCTGCAGTCTGCTTTATACTCACGAGGACCCTGTGAAGTCTGTAGTGGTGCAATGGAGCAGAGGCTTGCCACATTGAAGCCCCTGGACATTTGAGTAACCTAGACTACACATATAGATGCGGCTTCCCTGTTTCTTTTTAGTTCAGCCCCAATCCTCACAGTAGCTGGAAGAGAAGCAGATCTTCTCAAAGGCAGGGAAGCTGGCTCTGAAGTAATGCAAAGTAGGGGAGGGTGGCTTGGTCCTGAGTGGACAATTAAAAGGCATTTTGTTGTTGTTTAGTCCTTAAGTCGTGTCCGACTCTTCGTGACCCCATGGACCAGAGCACACCAGGCCCTCCTGTCTTCTAAAAGGCATTGCCTTTATTAAAAGCTGCTTCTGAATTGTAGATGTGGATTTATCCAGTTGTCTGCATTTTTAAGTCTCCTTCTGCAGATGGCTATGGGGCATTATCATGATGAGCACCTGCTCTTTCAAATCCACCCTTACAATGCTAGAGGTGAGTGACTGGCAAAAGGTCATTCAAGGACTTTCATGGCTCAGTGGGAACTAGAACTGGATCTCCCTAGGCCCAGTCCAACACTAACCACAGTGTCACAAAGACTCTACTGAAGTAGTTAGCAAAGAGCTTATTCTCTTCCAGAATGTCACTTTTAAGTTCCGTCTTCACTGATCTGTCTTTGATTAGGTTTGCCTCTTTCTATCTTCATTTTGGTTTGGCAAGCAGACAGCAGAAATATTAATGCTTAGGAAATGTGTGTCTTTGGACAGTTCCAGAGATTCCCCAGTCTAGGGGTTACTAGAGATTATCATTCAACTAAGTACTTTTGAAGACTCTGCAAAGAACACATGAATGAATTTGTCTCTAGCATTTGCTTGTCTTTCAAATGATGTGGAGGCTACAAACTAAGAAGAAGGATATGGGCATCCTTAAGACTTTTTGCTCTGACTGGCTTTCCATTACTACTCTCCCTGTGCTACTTTTGACCCACAATTGGGGGGGGGGTGGAATCTCTCTTCAACTAGAAACACATTTCTGTAGTGAAAATGGCACATGAACTAGCCAGTGCATCATTAGGCAGGTAATTTTTAAAACTACTTGTGCTTGGAAAATACAAATAGTCTTCCAGCAGCTTTGAATGAATGTCTAGTGAAAGCGAAATTGCTTCCAGTCAAAAATTACACCAGGTGTTATATGAAATTGGAGAAGGAAACCATGAAAGGAGTAATTTATAATACATTATTGACTTGAAGAAAAACATAAGAATTTTCTACTTGCACCAGGGAAAAAGTGTCCCTCAGATACAACAGTTTGAGATAAATTATCTTCTAATTTTGTAACAATTTAGAGTATGTAACAACAGATCAGAATGGTGATGTTGTATAGATGCTAAAAATAATATGATAAATAATTCAAATGCAAATTGTGGGTGAGGTTTGTCTTAATAGCACCACAAAGAATAATAAATATAAATAAGAGGACAGTTGTCTTAAAAAATCAAATCAGAGTGTTTTGAGTATGGGGTGCTTGCAGTATCCTTCTTCTGCCATCTTGTGGTCAAGCGACAACTTGAGCAGATATACCATCATTTTTTAAAAAACCTTAGACCTTACAGTTTCCTTCTCACATTATTTAAGTATAATACCATCACTGTAGGCAATATGGATCAAAATTAAAATCCTATGATCATTCTTCCTCCCCTCCCTTATATGTTTGTTTCATTTAAAAAACGGTTTGCTGTCTCTTGAGTGCATCAAAGGCCCTATTCAGGCATTCAGCCTGAAGACCTGGAGAGCTCTCCACCCACCATGTTCTCATTTGGCTCAGACGTCCTGCAGAGCTTGGCAAGATCAGCAGGAAGGTCTAGTTAGGGATGGGCCTTTTGCATTTAGACTAAAGACCAAAGACGCAAAAGAGAGCCTCTCTCATTCTTGCATTCCTTTTATTTATTTATTTATTACAGACATTTATGCATATGGTTAACAATAACATGCCAAGCCTTCCAAGCTAAGATCAACCCCAATCAACCCCTCCCTCCCCAGTCGTATCTTCAACAAGCCAAATCTAACCTAGTCCCAAAACAATTGAGAGGTAAGGTGATATAGGAGCTTAGTAGCTGAGTGCTAAATCAGGCTTCTAAGCTTCTGCTATGAATTCTCTAGGTGCTACTAGTACTGGCAGTCCAGATTTTCTAGACATCATCTCTCCAAAGTCCTCAGTCAGGTAGCTACTGGTAAGAGGTTGTGAAAATGGGAATCTAAAATATCAAGATGGTCGAAGGTCCTCCACTCAGTGCCCATTACATTGGTACTAAGGGACCAATAATTCTGACCTGCCTTGCTGGTGGCTATTGAGATAAAGATGCTGCCAGGTGAGATTTCTCTCTGCGTTGCTAATTTCATACTAAGGATATACCTGAGGTCATAACTATGGACATACTTACCATGAATTGCATCTGAATCAATGTGTAGGCTTTTCTGTGAGGAGGCCATTTTACATACACACCAGTCTGAACAGTTTTCTTGTTTGTGCAAACAGACCAACGAAACCGAGGTGACAGTCGAGAGTCTAAAGTCCTGAGCCAAATCACTGTGGTGGCTCCACCATTTCCCTCTTTTCCTGTGACCTACAATCAGAAGCACAAAGAGACGAAGGATCGTCCGTTACTCAAAGTAAGTTCTGGCCTCTTAAAGGTATTTCTGAACTGCTACTGAGAAAGAGTGGACACCTCTTGATCCAGACAGACTATATTCGCCTTCAATTGTCTTGTGTCAGGAAGAGATTTGCCAGGTAGTGCCTAAAGAAACAACACCTGCCAAACTTCTTTCAGGCTGCTATTAAAGTTACACAGACAACTCTTAAAATCTAGATTCAATTATCAATTGGTTACTGTTACAATGAAAATTTATGCTCATTATTTTCTCACTTTTCTGCCATAACGTTGCTTAACCATACCACCCATTTCTTACATTTGTGTTGCTATTTAGTCACACTGTAAGTTCCAAAACACAGATGTATGAAGGAGACAAATCCTGTTGGTTAGGATAATAAATTGTAGTAGGGTAGGCCCATTGAATCAGTAGGAATGTAGTGAGTCAACTCCTTTGTAAATCCCATTCACTCAAATGGGGCTACTGTAATTGCAACTTACTATGCTAAATTAAGTCAAAGGTGTAGTAGGCCCATTCAAATCAATGGGGTTTATGGGCGAAATTGATTCACCAAATCCCTGTGATGCAGTGGCTGTGCTCTAGTGTGATTTGCTATGTTAAGCAACAGGATTTTGGCCAATGTTAGGTTCTACAATTAGGTTTGTTCCTTTAAGTGACAATAAAAATGGTGCAGGTTTCAGTTAGAGTTACAGCATAGCTTATATTAAGGGTTCAAGTTATAGAGAGGCATATGAGACACAGACATACCTTTAACCATCATATATTGGAGCTTCCTTTAAAAATATAAGAGTTAAATATAGGCAATAAAAAATCTTAATGTTTGATCTCACCATCTCTGTGATCTTACTACAGTGGTGCCCCGCTTGATGATGATAATCCGTTCCAGGAAAATCGCTGTTAGGCAATATTGTCGTCAAGCAAAAAAAACCCATTGGAATGCATTGAAAACCGGTCAATGCGTTCCAATGGGGGAAATACCTCATCATCGAGCGAAGATTGCCCATAGAGAACCGCCAATCAGCTGTTCAAAATCACTGTAATGCGAAGCTTCCCTCTGGAAAGCAGCCAATTTGAGAAGGAAGGGAAGCCATTTTGCAGAGGGAATCCATTTTGCAGAGCCGGAAAAAAACATTGTATAGCAAGCAAACGGTTTGTGAAGCAGGCTCCTAATCAATGTAATGCGGATTCCCCCATAGGAACCATCGTTTTGCGATCACAATAGCGATCGCAAAAATGTCATCGTTAAGCGATTTCAACGTCATGCGGGGTAAGCATATAGCGGAGCACCACTGTATTTCTGTCTGGCTGATTGTGCCCCGTAGAAGAAAGCGGTTCATATATGACAATACTTCCATCACTTTCCTGAAGGAGAAAATATGGAATCATATTAGATGATCAGATAGCACATTGTTAGAAACAGATTCTTAAGTGCCAAAGTATGTCCCCCCCACCCCACCCAAAAATTGAACCCTTGTCACCTTCCATAGTTTGCAGATTTTTTTGCTTTGGCTTGTGAATTATCATTGGTGGGTAAATACAAACTCAGAAGGAATTGCATCGCTGGAACATGTAGATGTTGTCAACTTATTACAGCCTTCTCTCTTTATTATCCAATATCGTTGTATGCCTTTTAGCTCTCCTCAGGTTGTCTGCAGCTGTGGCAATGATCTGCCAGGGAGAAATATGTACCTATTGAAAGTGAGAAGGGCAGTCCTGCACATCTTATGTCTCTGTACATCTGAGAGTGCACATTTTTATATGGACCCTGGGCTAATTCCGCAGATTTCTGTAGGAAATACCTTACTATTTTATTCACAAGTGCACATGTTCAACTTAATTGTATATATAACAGGAACAGGGAACCGGTGTTTCCCAGATGTTGGACTTCAGTTCCCATTAGCCTTACCCAGCCACAGGTGGTAAATGAGGAGCATTTCAGTCCAACAACTTCTGGAGGCCCATATGTTTCCCATCCTTGATGAATGACTACCTTGCCCAGTGTTAAAAACATAGTGCACCATCACATGGGGGAGAGGCGCTTAATCTGAAATAATTACTTGGTTTACATGCTCTGATTCACACTAGGAAAACGTGCCCTTTGCTCACATCCCTTCTCTTTTCTAATATACACAACCTTGGCTTCAGGAAAACAATAGTTTGCCATTACTTCTGAATGGGCGAATTGTTCAGCTCCTACAGATGGTTGGAAACGATGGTTTCCAATTCTAGTTCCCAAACCCAAGTCGTAGAGTTTACACAAATCATAGTTTGTTGCTTTCGACAGCAATAAACAGTAGCTTTGCTGAAAACTGGCAAGAGCTTCTGATTCTAGTGAAGTGTGCAAAGAGGATGAGAAAAAGGAGAATTTTAGCACTGTGCTTATTAATGCAGTGCCAAATAATCGGTATCCTTTGGACATAACACTAAACTGTTTGCATGAATGAGCCTGGGCTGTGATCCTCTGGGACGACAACTAAGCACTCCATACTACTATTATCTGGAACATTTGTGAGCTACTTCTCTCTTGACAAGTTCAATACCTCCTTGGATACTCTATACCTACCTATTTCTGTCCCCTTATAAAATTCCGTTGTAGGATTCTTGGACTCCAGTGTTTCCATGCTCCAGTGTATGTTTCTTCTTTTAATTCTGTACGATAGAATCCATATAGCTAGTCATCAAAGAAAAATTCAAAAGACATCCAGCATTATGTAGATAATCCCAGGGCAAGTTTGCAAATTTCTCCTAACTTCTTTCCAGTGTTCTATGTTAACCCCATCTTAAAAAATAAAATGTAGCATTCTTAATATTTTGAAGCAACAAAGTTATTTGAAAAGGAACTTTTTAATGAAAAACTAATTATTATGACAAATTATTATTATGACAAATGTGGATATAGCCATTAAACTCCACTTAGAGTACTTGTTAAAAAAAGGTTCCCATTGCAAGTTCTTTTTATAAACTGCAATACCTGGTTCTATGTCTTCCTTTTAATCAGGGCTATATAATAGCAACCCCTCCAGTTGTTATTGGGACCTCCCTCTCTCTCACCATTATCTGCATTGGCTAGGGCTGATGCAACTGCAGTACAGCATCACCTGCAGGGCCATTATTTGCTCATTACTGTATCTAATGGCCTCACCTTTACAGCTAGGCTGCTGATACCTTTTTACAGGACATTTCCCTCTGGAAGTCTGTTATAAACCTCTCCAAACCTTCCATTCTGGGGATTGGAAAATTGGTTCTTTTTGTTTTTGCCCTAGGAAGTGCCACTCCATATAGTTCTCAGTAGACTGCTCAACACTGGACATTTCTTCACATGGGACAGATGAGTTTCATACAATTAACCCACCAATCCAAAAATATTTTAATCTCTAGAGTACCTCTATCTAAATTTGTCTAATTCCAGCATGCGTCTAATTCCAGCATGCATCTTTACTTAGCCAGATCACAAAATTCAACTTGATTGTGGTAGAAACACTCACATTAATGGGGAAGTCAGTATGATGACCAATGAAAGCATTTACCCATGAACATATTCTATGCACAGGTAGCCATTTTGTTCTCCTTTAGATACACCCCAGTAAAATGGTTCCAGAAAGTCTGGCTCTTGTGTTTCTGTGAGGAAAGCTGATCAGCCAGGGCAAAACTTCCAGAACTAAGCTGGAATGTTGGCATTGTTGGAGAAAGAACAGCATTTCACAGCAGGTTACCTTTCTTACATTGTGATTTTATGACACAATGAGTGAATATTATGCCACAATAAAATAGACAAAGCTGCCCTAACTCCTGTTAATAAATGGAGAAGGATCCTTATTGAAGAAGTGACTGGCATGGAATAATGAACTTAATCTCATCCCACCTTATGGGTCCATTTAGTCTTCATTGTTATAACCTCTAACCTGATCAATTTACATTGAATGAAATTAAGAACTTCTTGAAAGCAAAGGATGCCAAAGCCAAAGCACAATCCACTTCGTTTCTGTAGTAATTGATTGATTGATTCACAACCGGGCTCAGCTCTCATCCCATCTGTCAAAATTGAAAACTTTAGACCAGGGATGTCCAACCTTTCACCTTCCCTGGGCCACATCAGAAGATGAAAATTCGGTTTGGGCCACATATAAATTTGGTTTGGGCCGCATGGGAGGGCAGCCCTAGCCATCCTCTGCAGCCCCACTCCCTGCTTTAGACCTTTCACATTATTTGTATCACCAGAAATATAACAGGGTCCCAAAGTCATGCTAAGTTGTCTATGGGCCCCCAAACATTTCTTTTCAATCCTTCACTCTTGTCCTCTTTCTGTTCTACATGTCTACCTGTTAACATCTGGGGGTTTACTGTGTTTATTGACTGACATCCTCTTGCTTAGCATAGTAAATTGCAGCTAGAGTAGGCCTACTAAATCAATGAAACTGAGTTTCATTGAGTTGACTGACCAAATCCCCACTGATTCAATAGGCTTACTCTAGTTGCAACTTACTATGCAAAGCAACAGGATTTCAGCCAATGCTAGTTACAAGAAGCATCGTCCCAACTGTAAGATATATAGTTTCCAGGGTGGCTTATATCTGTACTAAAGACTCTATAAGGTGACATAAGAACAATGCATTTCCCAGTGTCCCTAGTGCTTGAGATGCTGTTCTAATTCAAGGTACGCTACTCAAGTTATGACCTGAAACAAACAAAAAAAGAATTTTGAGGGGAACCAGTACTCAGTATGTAATCCAGGTAAACATTATGAGTTCAGGTTCCAGGTCAGGAAATATAACTCCCTTCCCTTCAATGAGACCCCTAGTTTTCTGAGTGCACACTGTCCCTTACCGGCCTAAAGAAGACATACTGAAAAATATTTTAGAGCTTCCCACTCAGCAGTGTACTGAACATTTACATCTTTGTCTAGAACAGAACTGACAATATTATTGACCTTGTGTGTGCCCCCCCAACATCTCCCCGTCCATGCTGCCCTAACTGGGCAGAAAATTGTTTGGCTCCAAAATTCAGCATTATGATTTGCTAGCAACATCCAGTGTGCAGCATGTCTGGGGGAGAGGCTACTTGTCCCTGGGTTTCCCCACATTGCTTCAGTTTCATCAGAACAAATTCCACAAATATCTGTTCCACAAACAAATAACAGAAATCTAACAATGAATATGTGGGCAGGGTTGGGGGAAGTTGAGTTACTGATCAGAGATTCTTGGAATCCATTTCATAGCTCTCAGTGCTCAGGAGAAAATTCCATGGTAGCATGTCCTAAAACGCTGGAAACTGGAGGTTCTTGGAAACATAATCCAGTGGTCAATGAAAGGAGAAATCCTCACCTGTTGCCATAAGGACAGTTGTTTACTATCAAAGGTCTTGTTTAGTAATTACATGCACAGATGATTGCTTTCATACCTGTTAAACCTCCTCTGTGTAACAAATCGTGGCATGCAAAAGTTAAACAAATGGAAAACTGTAGAACAAATCCAGATTGATATTACAGATCTCATTACATATATATGTTTCTAGAATCCCAATTTCTCCACTGAGAAACAGCTGGCAGTGCAGATACATTTAAAATGCAGTAACATGGGCAGCCCTTGTGTGTCTTGACCCTGAGCATAGAAACATTTTTAGTATGCATTTTTTGGTTTTTTATTTTACTCATTCTTTTCCCACATTTCATGTTTATAGTTTTTCAGCACCCGCTCGCCCTCCCCTACTGAGTGTTGCCACATGACCCCATGGAGTCGAAAGGTATTGGAAGACCGTGCAAATAACAACCTCTCATTCATTCTGCCTTTTTTTTCCAAAACCTAATCCTTTCTCTTGCTTGCTTTTTGGCTGACTAACTTTGTTGTCTTTACGCGTTATATTCTTTATCAAGAAGGAATGCCAACTTTCTCCCTCTCAGCAAGGTATAAATTTGATAGTTTTAGGAGCTCACAAGAGGGTTTCCATTTTGCTGATTAGTTTTAAAGGCCTGAACCAAATGTCTCTGAAGAGGTTTTGTACACAGCTAAAAACATTTAGATGGAGATTTTGGAAAACCACAAGAAGACATCGGAAGAGTGCCAGAGCAAAAGCAGGGATCTATCCTATCGACTGTTATCATTGCTATTGTTTGCTAAAGAGCAGCTTTGGCAGACAGTCAGAGATTGTGGTCAGGTCACTTCACTTTCTTTGTCCAGCAAGCCATTGTTATGCAGGGAAGGAATCAGCCACAAAATACAGGGTATGTGGGGCTTTTTTTTTTATGCATCAACTTTTTTTTTCCAGAGGTTACCTAGGAAACAAAGTCTTTTGTGTTACTAGTTTATATGAGCTATTCATTTCTGCTGGGAACAGCACAAAAGCTGAACAGATAAAGAAAGCAGCAATGTTTTTTCTAACTTAGGGATGGCAAAAAAATATTTGGGAAGAAGACAGCCCCTCTTATTTTTACTTTTTTAGTGGGCAACTTTTGCAGATGATTCTGACAAGGTAAGCAACTGGGCTTGGTGTAACTTGAATAAGTAGCTGTGAAGTGTGGCCTTCTGCATAGAAGTATGTTTTAAATAACTGTGAGCCTCTTTGGCGCCTTTTGCAAGAATGTTGCCTACGACATTTTTGACGAGAAACAAAGCCCTATTATTTGACAGAGGTTATCATTTGGAAAATAATAAAATATGAAATGCTGGCAGATAGAGCAGATTAAGTTTTGATGCTTTAAGGAAAAGAAGTTAAATAATCCAGAGTAGATGGCAGGGGAAGGCAAAGCATTCAGAAGGTAAAGTAAGGTAGTAATGGAAAGTTTAACTTATAACTAGATGTTGAAAGGCATGTTTAGATTGGAGCAGATGACAAAGCTCCACCAGGACTAGGGCTACATAAAAGTATAGCAACTAGTTAAATGAAAACAAGTTTAAAACAATGAGAGAATAATAATCTTCAAGGATTTCTTGTGGGAGTAGCAACAGTTTTTCCAGTATGAATATATTTCAGCAGACTGCTTCTAATCTTTTTCTTGCACTTGATAAACAACAAAGCATGTCAGTCTTTCTTTCTTTTTTTGAAAAGGTAGTCTCTTTTGATATAGTTGATCTCTGTTAGTACCTCTTTTTCTTGTGTACCCTGTCATTTGTGTAGCATATTTTGAATTGTTTTGCCTACTTTCTAGACGTTCTGTAGACTTTTAGGTGGTGGCTGAATCTATGCATTTTAACTTTAAGATCTGCTTACTACTAAGTAGACCTCTTTGCCTGTGCAACTTTGAACACAAACCATCATCTTGTCCCTGTTTCTTTAGTACCTCTCTAGGAAGTTTTACTGAATTTGCCTGAGCATCTAACAAATGATGTTTAGGAACATGAAGTTCCATTAAAATAGGGGTTACTTTTAATGTTGTACAAGATAACCCTATTATGTCACCTGTCAAGTACTTATACATAGAAAGTTTGCATGCTATGGATTTGCCATGGATGCTTGTTTGTATGTACATTTAACAAAACGAATGAGTGCAAACTCATACTCAGCTTCTAAAATGGCATCCAGAAATGGATCACTCCTATATCCTTTTAAGTAACAGTGTACATGTTTAGAGAAAATAAATAATAGCATCGACTGGTAATTCTTTCCATCTCTTGAAATTCTTAAACATTTTCCATAAGCAAGGTGGTTCAGAGTTCTTTCTGACCATGTGCTAAGAGAATGGTGATCTGTTCTTTTTAATTCTAACAAGGTCTTTATTTCTTTTTTCATGCAACCTACTTCTAAATCTCCTTTTTTCTATTATTTTTAAAAGATAATATGAAATTGTAAAAGCATAGATTCTGATTTTAATTGTGTTCATTTACAGTCCCACCAACCAGAGGAAGAAGATACAGATGTCATGTTAGGGCAGAGGCCGAAAAATCCAATACATAATATTCCTTCTACACTGGATAAGCAAACCAACTGGAGCAAAGCACTACCTCTCCCAACTCCAGAGGAGAAAATGAAACAAGAGGCCCAAGTGATTTCCTCTTGCATTATCCCCATCAATGTCACTGGTACAGATCTCTTGTACTTCTTTTTTTGTTGACAAAATGGTGTTTCAAGGCATTAATATTATTACGGTGAGCACGTCTTTAAACACAGGGCTTTACAATCAGCAGATGTAAGGTTTCTGAGGCAAGAATTTAACTGAGCTGAAAGGATTTAGCAAGCTAAAGGGCTATTCCATGAATGGCCATAGACACTGGTATCATTGTATCTGGGCTAAAATGGTGTTGTTGTTTTTGTCCACATATAATAGCTTATCCTGTTGTTTTTTGCATTGTGCAGTGTGCTGCTTTGTTGTGGACAGGACTTTAAATTTCCAGTGCAGCGGACAATGTTGATACACTTCCCGAACGAAAAGCGGTTACTCGTAAATCCATTAGTCATAGGTCTCTGACAGTTATGGATGTCAAAGCAAATAGTGAGAAAGCAAATGATAACACCTGTTTTAATTCCTTCAGTCATGTTCAAAGGCAAAAGCTGTATAGATATTATTTATATATTATGATGATTATTAGACATATATTAATATTTCTGATTTATCATATATTAATATATCTGATTTATCAAAGTTGTCTTCACTTCCCAGCAGACAGCATTTCTATATAATACTTTATCTACAGTGTAAAGTTCTCTGGGAAGATGACTGTGAACTACTTTCTCAGTCTCTGTTCTCTGTCTTATTTCTCCATTATGGGTTTCTATTATGATGGCAATCCTGCATTGACTTCAATTTGGTGTGCCCCGTTTGCCTTTTATGTACACAGAGGATGAAGGTGTTTGCTTTTGCATTTGTTACCTGTGAACTACTGTACTGAGTTCCATCTGAACTCAGGAAGGTCTGGTTTGTTCTGTAATGGTTAATACACAAACGAAGCTACTTAGCCATTAGTTGGTTTCTGGAGTGTTCAAAAACAAAGAAGTGAAGACCTCACAAGCTCCAGTTGTTCTCATAATAGAAAACCACGTTTAACATTACATCTGAACTTGACTTTAGCTTGCTGATTATTTATTCCATGATGAGAGCAATACTACATTAAAGAGAAAAAAATAACTAAGTTTGCTCTCCTGAAACATTCCTGTTTGGAGAGTCAAGGATGCCTTTGTTCAGTCATCATAAGGACCTGGAGGTGATTTACAGTAAAAACAATGACGGCAAAAACAGCAAAACAATCCTGATATAATAAAAACTGAAAACTCTACTATAAACACAAATAAAACCATAGTAGCCAGCTCAAAGTAACTCACAGTTAAAACAATCAGCAGATGGACATTTTCTTTTGAAAGACTTCTACAACAGGGTTTTTGTTTTTTGTTTGTTTGTTTTTTGCCACCAAGACAGTTTGATCTAATATTACTGCCCGCTGCACCTTTTTTGTGATGAACACAGACCAGGCTTCCAGTGATACAGAATTGATGGACAGGTTCATGCAGGAAGAGATGGCCCCTCCAATATCATGGGTCCCAGTCCTTGAATTGGGCTCAGATGTGAATAGGTAGCCAGTGCAAATAAAACAGGGTTGCTGTAATATGATATACTGTAGAAAGAGAATATAGGAAAACTTTCAGGCTGTTGCACTTCCCGCCAGCTACCGTTTCTAAATACTCACTGTAGAGCATGTGCCAGTAAGTGAACTGCGTGAACTGCAGTGACTGAGACAGCTGTCCCTTCTCCAAAACGTGCCACAGCTGGTACACCCATCAAAGCTGTAAAAATGCACTCCTATCCACAACTGCCACTCGGAGACCCAACAGCAGTGGGGAAACTAGCAGTACTCTTAAGCTGCCAGACGGATCTTTGAAAGACAATGCAACCCTCTCAAGAAAGTGTTGTCCTTTCACTGCCTGCTTCTTTTGTCTACTAGGCGTCTCCACCATGTCTGAAATAAGTCCCAGCTTTTAAGCTCACACTCAACCATGTGTCTTGCTTATGTGCTAGGAAAACTGAATGATCAGGAGAAAAATACACTTCATCTTCTTCTATTATTCCTTTAAAAACACTGTACTTTATTATCCTGGCTTTACTGACATCTTAGGAAAGGAGAAATGAAAGAATAATCTATTTGAATTTCTGTCTTTTTTGTGAGAGAAAAAAAGCTCAGGTTAGGATGGGGTCATTATTTTTATTTTAAAGCAAGAAAATCAGCACTAGAACATGGGCATGGCCAGCTTACATGGTGGACCAAATGTTAAATTAAATCAATTTACTACTTATTGTACATTATTGCAGTATGTTACATTTTAATGGGACCACTTTATTCACTTAAGCGTAGTACAGTGGGGTCTTGACTTGAGAACTTAATCCGTATTGGAAGGCGGTTCTCAAGTCAAAAAGTCTGTAGGTCAAGTCTCCATTGACTTACAGTGCATTGAAAACCGATTAATCCCGTAACAGGCTGTTTTTGTTCCATTTTGGTTTTTTTCTGGTCTGTAAATCAAATCTCAGTCTGTCAGCACTAGAACATGGGCATGGCCAGCTTTTTCAGCCTACATGGTGGACCAAATATTGAATTAAATCAATTTACTACTTATTGTACATTATTGCAGTATGTTACATTTTAATGGGACCACTTTATTCACTTAAGCGTAGTACAGTGGGGTCTTGACTTGAGAACTTAATCCGTATTGGAAGGCGGTTCTCAAGTCAAAAAGTCTGTAGGTCAAGTCTCCATTGACTTACAGTGCATTGAAAACCGATTAATCCCGTAACAGGCTGTTTTTGTTCCATTTTGGTTTTTTTCTGGTCTGTAAATCAAATCTCAGTCTGCAAGTCAAACCTAAATTTTGCGGCCAGAGAAGTCTGTAACTCAAAAAGTCTGTAAGTCAAGCCGTCTGTAAGTCAAGGGTCCACTGTACACGTACCACTTGCATACTTTGTATACTTAAAAAATTACAATTGCAGGGGGACTCCTGACTTCTAATCCATGGCAGTAATCCAGCACAGAACTGGACTAAAATCAGTGGGTTTAAGTTCACCTCACTCTTTGCTGGTCAATAGCTGGGATTCAAAGGAAAAAAAAAGAAAACATCATTGAGTTCTAGTCAGATCTTGAAAACTTCCTCCCACCTCTGTTTCCAGGAGTTTGCCATGCGGTGTAGTAAGTGGGCTGTTTAAGGAAAATAAGTCTTTTGTTTAAGGAAAAGAACACTTGTTGTAAAATAGCGAATAGTAGTAGGATTTGTGATCTATTGTTTTTGTGTCTATTGTGAAGTATTTCTGTCCACTTCTGTGCTAATGATGGTGGCACTTGATGTAGGATTATTGGCTGGGGTCTTCTGTATTAGATTTCAAGAAGAACTTTTACCAAAAAGTTACTTTTTAGTGTTTCACATTTGTATGTAATGTACTATGTATGTGTATGTCCATGTATAATTATGGTTGATATAATTATACAATACTAAAAGTAAAGTGTTTGGGACCAGGAACTTATTGGGGTATTGGTTTCAATCCCCATCTCCTATTTTTAGTTCTTGTAGTTGTCTTTCAGATTACTCCATGAAATTGTCAATGTCTAAGTGGTGCCCTAGCATATTACTTCAGAGAGAGCTCTTGCCAAGTTATAACTCTTTGATGAAAGGAAAACAAGTATAAAGACATTGTGTGTATTTACTCAAATGAAAGTTTTTTTCTATAATTTTACCTGCCACTCTGTAATGTCTCTTCCAGTAATACGTGGCAATCACAAGTTAGATACTTCACACATTTTCCAGCTATTTGATTGCCCTCTATTAATGCATTTTTGCATGAAATTTGAGTCCAGAAATGGAGATGTTCATCATACATATCTATTAGGTTCAGTAAATGCACCATGTATAATGTGCAGGCATAGTTCTCTTCCACAAGGTCAGTGTGATTTACTATGGTCTAGAGATTAAGCTCCCTGAATAACTGCAAACAGGGTTCCTGCTGTGTCAGCACTGACTGTAGGAGGTATCTTGTTTGTAGACGAACTTCCTGCTTGGATAAATTACAAGCTTTGCATTCAGAAACCCCTGAAGTTTAGTTCATAATATCTCTCTAGTTAAACAATGGCAAATGCAAGGACTAATGGAAAAAAAACAGCTACTGTATCTTTAAGAATGAATTTACTCACATTTCACACCTTTAAAGTTTTTCTTTTAAGAAGGACCTCTTGCATTTATAAACATTCCACCCAGTTTCCCATGTATGAGTATCATAAGAATATTGGGAGAATGGGACATAAAGCTAATGTAAGAGTAAGCAATTTCCAGGATGCTAGGGGCTTCACTCACATTCTCTGGACCACATATGTGATGTGATGACACTCCAGAGGCTTGACTGCTGTGCTATGATAGTTTCAGTAGTAGTTTAAGAATTAGGACCAAATCTGCTCAGTGTGACATAGTAAACATAGGTGAGAATTATTGCTAGGACCATAGTTTCTGACACTCTACCATGGAATGAATCTAAACATTCAAATATGCCCCAACAATGTAGTTGGATCCTGCTGTTAATCCACTGTAACGCACAAACAAACAAAAATACCAAGATAGTCTGCATAAAGTACAATTAGATTTGCCATGATTCTTGGCCTCCTCACAATATCTCTTCAATGCCAAATGATTTTAAGAGAGAGGGAAAAAAAATTTAAGCTGAATAATTTCTTGCTATCATATTTGATGCTGGTGATCTTCACAGGTGATAATGCCTGCATAGCCAGAATCATGGGTGAAATATTACAATCAAGGTCCCTTAGCTAACGAGAGTGCCTAACCTCCCATACTTTCTTTACTCTCTTTTTCTTTGGCAACACAGGCTCCTCAGAGGGTTTAGAAGCAAGGCTGTGGCACACACTGAATAATTTTCATGGAAGTTGTACAATGTCTGCCTCAAATTCATTTGCAGGCATAAACCAAAGTGTTCACATGACCTCCACTGTCTTCCAGTCATAACAAATTGTCTACTATTTCTAAAAAGCTAATGAGACCTGTTTATGGGTTGCAGGAGTTGGTTTTGACAGAGAGGCTAGTATACGCTGCTCTCTTGTTCATTCACAATCTGTGCTACAGCGGAGACGGAAATTGAGAAGGAGGAAAACCATCTCTGGCATCCCCAGAAGAGTTCAACAAGAAATAGGTGTAGTATATAAATAACGCTCTTCGCTAGATAGTGTTCTAACTACCTTAACTGCAGCAATAGCCAGCCTTTCAAATGCCGTTCCACAGAACACTTATGATTCTACAGTTTCAAATATAATGTGTTTGAATATTTCTGTTTGATTTTGTCTTTTTTTAATTTTATTTTAATACTGCCAGCCAAACTATATTACTCACTACAGCCTTCAGTCTTCATGTGCTGTCGGCCTTACTAAGTAATATAGATGTACATGTCCAGCCCTTATTGTTTAAATGTAATAAGTTACCTAATTTCTGTTGTATTTTTTCTTTTTGTTTGTTTTTATACCCATAGTACGTACATAAAAAGTAACTAGATTCAGTGAAAGTTTTTTCTTGTAGCTAAGGACCCATAAAGTGACAGAAGTTACGTTGAACAATGATAATATCATGCTTTATTTATGTAGACAACCAGTTGAATTTTTACTCCAGTTGGCTATCATCATTTAAACTGGATAGAAAACTTTGCAGAACTTTTGTTTTCACTCTGCAAGTTCTCTTCCACTTCCTTTTTTACCTGCTGAAAAATATACATAAAAGTTGACTTAGCCCTTTCTTGATTAGACTTAAGTTGGCTAAACACGTCTTCTGGCAGAATCAGTGTCTGTTTCCACAGTGGCCATTACCTGCCATGGTAGAAGACCAATAAAACAAAGATGTAAACTATCATAAACCCATCAATTAATCCGAATTTAGATAAAGGTGTTTTGCTTATTGCTTTGCAAATGAGATGTGGCCCTTTGGACCGAGAAGCCACTGGGCTATCATAAAGATGGGTTTTGGAGTTACATTATTTGAGCCTAATGAATACTTTTTCCTCATGTAAATTACAATTGTTGAAGTACATTGGCCAGAATGGCAGGGGGATACCTTGTTTATTTTCCTTTACTAATATAAAGGTCATAGCTTGCTAGCTGTTGAGAGTGGTACCTTACAGAGTTTTATGTGTATCCTAGATTCTGATGAATCTCCAGTAGCAAGAGAGCGGAATGTGATTGTGCATGCAAATCCAGACTTCTCTAATAACTCAAACAGGAGATCAGGTACCAGAGATTCTGAGTGCCAGACAGAAGAAATCCTCATTGCTGCCCCATCCCGGAGAAGAATCCGGGCTCAGAGGGGTCAAAGTGTTGTAGCCTCTCTGTCTCATTCAGCTGGAAACATATTGGTACTGACAGACAATGGGGACACCATGTTCACAACATCAGTGAGCAACCGTGTACGATCAAGGAGTCTTCCTCGTGAAGGTGCTAGAACCAATGAAGCCGACCATAACACCAGTGCCAAAATGTCAGCATATGAGGCAGAACACTTTTTAGCAAGCCAAGAAAGAAACTCCACAAAGAGTAAAGATGCCATTAATAATCGGTGCTCTCAAGAACACCATCCCATAGGTTTAAAGTGCTCTCAGCATAGCCCAGATCACAACTCAAATGAGAGGGGGAGGTCAAGGTTATCAAGGATGGCAGATTCAGGAAGCTGCGATATCTCATCAAACTCTGATACCTTTGGAAGTCCCATTCACTCTATCTCTACTGCTGGAGTTCTTCTTAGTAGTCACATGGACCAGAAAGATGACCATCAGTCTTCCAGTGGGAATTGGAGTGGAAGCAGCTCAACATGTCCTTCCCAAACATCAGAAACAATTCCTCCTGCTGCCTCTCCTCCACTGACTGGCTCGTCACACTGTGATTCAGAATTATCACTGAACATTGCCCCAAATGCCAATGAAGATTCTACTATCTTCATAACTGATCACTACAGTGATCAGATAGATAAGATTAGAGGCCATAGGACAAGTTCTTTCACTTCCACTGTAGCTGATCTACTCGATGATCCCAATAACAGCAACACAAGTGACAGTGAATGGAATTATTTGCATCACCATCATGATGCGTCCTGCCGCCAAGATTTCAGTCCTGAACGCCCCAAGACAGACAGCCTGGGATGTCCAAGTTTTACAAGTATGGCTACTTATGATAGTTTTATAGAGAAGACCCCATCTGACAAAGCAGACACAAGCTCACACTTTTCAGTTGACACTGAAGGCTACTACACCTCCATGCACTTTGACTGTGGTCTCAAAGGAACTAAAAGTTATATTTGTAACTATGCAGCTGTGGGCTCTGAGAGTGGGCAGAATGCTAATGTTGCTTCCAGTCTCGCTAACTGTGCCTGGCAGGATTATGTAAATCAAAGGAGACAAGGAAAACAGAGCATCTCTCTAAAGAAACCAAAGGCAAAGCCAGCCCCACCAAAACGCAGTTCATCTTTAAGGAAATCTGACAGCAGCACAGATCTTCCTGAGAAGAAAGAACCAAAGATAAGCAGTGGGCAGCAGCACATGCCTCACTCTTCCAGGGAAATGAAGCTGCCCCTCGAATTCTCAAACACACCTTCAAGAGTAGAAAGTTCTAATCTGCCAAGCAATCAGGAACACTCCTGGGATAATCAGGAGGAGAGCAGATTAAAAGACCTTCCATTTGACACCATGGACATCCCATCATTTAAAGATGAAGGTGCTGAACAATCTCACTATGCAGACCTCTGGCTTCTAAATGACTTGAAATCTAATGATCCTTATAGGTCTTTATCCAATTCTAGCACTGCTACGGGTACTACGGTCATAGAATGCATAAAGTCACCAGAAAGCTCTGAATCGCAAACATCACAGTCTGGTTCGAGAGCCACCACTCCTTCCCTCCCTTCTGTGGAGAATGAATTTAAATTAGCTTCCCCAGAAAAGCTGGCTGGTTTAGCTTCCCCCTCAAGTGGTTATTCCAGTCAGTCTGAAACGCCAACATCATCTTTCCCAACGGCTTTCTTTTCTGGACCCTTATCCCCAGGAGGGAGCAAAAGAAAGCCAAAAGTACCAGAAAGGAAGTCCTCATTACAGCAGCCTTCTTGTAAAGATGGTAACATATCTCTGAATAAAGATCTTGAACTTCCAGTTATACCTCCTACTCATCTTGACCTAAGTGCTCTTCATAATGTCTTGAATAAACCATATGCTCACAGACATCAGTTGCATGCTTTTAATAACAATAAGCCGAACATGGTAGAAGAAGCACTGCACTCTAATTCTACACCAGCCCTTGCTATTACTCCATCAGTTCTGAAATCTGTACAGCTTCGATCAGTCAATAAGCCTGAAGAGGTAAAACAGAGAGACCGTACAGACATTCTCCATATTCAAGGGAATGCTTTAATGGTGACCGCAGTTTCAGGTAAAATGAAAGCACATGTAAGTAAGAAACAAGTATCGCGCCAGTATGCCATGGAAGAGGCCATAGTGTCCTATATTAATCCCTCTCCAGTACAAATAACCCCCGAAGAACTCCACTCCGAAAGCAGTTTGACTTTCGGTGAAAAGAATACCTGGCGAGAGACCCAAACCTCAGTAGACATGGGTGCTCCCATAGTTAGATATACAACAGATCAAATGCACCCGGTTCACGAGTTTCAGCCAGAGAATACACTTAATAAAATGTGTGGCAGTTCTGCTGAATGGTATCCACAAGGCACAACAGTCCTTTCCGGAAACTCCGAAGGAAAGATAACAATATGTGGACCAGAGCAGGACAGGAGACTTGACTCTGTGCAGCTTCAGCAAGAATTACCTGCACACTGTGATCAAAAGTTGGTATATGAACCTTTCATTGAAAATAGGCTCCAGTTTGATTCCTCAGCTGGGGGAGCTGACATCAGTTATCAGCTAAAGCATCAGTTTGATGTAAACCAACATTATGACAAAGTGCCTGGGAATATCAGCTATGGACCGGAGATCTCAACTGTAGATTCACTCAGTGAAAAATATCCTGAGCAGGAAAATGATATTGCATCAGGTATCCCAACCAGAAGTGCCTCAGATGACAAAGACAACAGAGCAGCTGAGACACACAGGACTCCAGAGGAGGATATCTCAAAAGGTTAGTTCTTGTCTATTACTGAGGTTTTTTGGCTGTTTGTAAAAGGATGCATGAAGTGGTGGCGGTTTCCAAAATGACAGCAATAGGGAACTTAATACAGCACAATTCCCTTTATGTCAGTGCAGCTCCGCCAGCTCACTGCAGCTCAAAATCTACCATGCTTTGCAGAAAAATATGTGTAGGCATTCATTTGCATTTCTTTTGACTTCATTTCAGTAGCAAAAAGAGCAGTAACCTTTTATAACTAAGCATTATTTTGACAGATTATCCAATATTTAGATTAGGTTGTCTGGTGTCTGTCATTACACAAGTAGTTCCATTACTAATTGAGTGAGAAGATTACGTTAACCAGCTCTACTGTATCAAAATGTCTGATTAAGGCTCAGCAGTTCTTTTTTTGTTTTTTGTTTTGTTTTGAAGAATCTTCTCCAAGCGACGATTCCTTAATCTCACCCCTAAGTGAAGATTCTCAGGCTGAACCAGAAGACGTTTTTGTGTCTTCAAATAAACCTCGAACAACAGAGGATCTCTTTGCAGTCATTCACCGGTAAGCACATACTATGGTTGCCAAAAATAACATGGTTTTTTGTTTCTGCAGGAATAGGAGAAAACCTAAAAGAATTCAGTGAAAAACTCAAAAGTAAACTACTTATTTCAAAACCTACTTTTTTTGCCCAGACCAAGACAGGGCTCTCCACGGCATGGAAGCTAAACAAATGATGTGTCTGAGAACATGAAAGCAAACCTCATGATGTGGCCTATTTATGTCTCCCTACATGTCATTCACAATCAGTTACACCACAGAATCCTGTTACTGAGTTGCATTGCATAAAGAGAGGGAGAATGTCCATCATGGAAAACTTCAGGCAGGAAAACAGATACAGAAGGAAAGGCTGTCTCTCCAAGATCACCAGGTTTAGAAGGGGTTGGAAGATAGTTCCTTCTAGTTACTGTTTCCCCTACGTTCAGCCAAAGTCTCCTTCAAAGATTGCATCTGGACCCTGCAAATGTATGTGTGTGCGCACACTCCATTGCCATGATCAGCAAGGACCTAAAGTAGCGGGTCTGAAGTCCTGTGTACATGCAGAGCTTAAATACCTGAGAGGGTAGAGTGTTCCCCCATTGTAGGCTGAAGAAGGCATCCAGGTTATTCACATTTCCACCCTAATATGTCAGGTGTATGAGTTCCTCTGGTCACATATATGTAGCGATGGTTCAGACATTGGTTGCATTTATATTTTTCAAGCTTCGTGTTATCATCCTGCAGTAGCTGGGCAGAACAAACAACAACTAAACAATAGTCTTCCATTTTGCAACCCATGCTTCCATGAACGCAAAAGTCCCCAGATTCAAATGACAAGTCCTCTGCTAGCAACTGAAGGCTACACTTCCAATTAACCACAGAACAGGACCAAGACCATAGATCACAAAGGAGAAGGAACTGTTTAGTTCCCAACTCTGTGACCATCCATGGGAATTATGCCAGCAAAATAAAATATGTGTGAGTTTATCCTGCCAGGTTTATGTTTAGAACACCAAACTGCATAGTCTGCATAGTCTGTTATTTGCCAAAACAAAAAACAAACAAAAAGCCCTCTTAGGCATCTTACCTCCTAACTTCAGTTGTGTTAAAGGTATTGCTTTAATTCTTGATTAAACATTACTGTCACTTTCCAGACAGTACTATCTGTGAAGGATACTTTGTCACAGAATACCTCGAACAGCTATGGTTTGTCAGAAAATACCATACTTAAGTGGCATTAGCTGCTATGCTTTAATGTTTTGTTTAACAGAAATTTGTCAGTCTATGTAGAAATGTTTTCCAAAATTTATGCTAAATGTTTGACTACTCTGTTGCTTCTCAACACAAAACAAAAAATGTAATTGTTTCCTTCCTAGCTCTCTGCATTCTGTAGGCGATAAACACTTGTTGTAGCTGCATGTGGACTGAGAAAGAGATAATGGATTACTTCCATTCAAAGGAATGTACAAAAATCCCTCAACTTTCTCCTTCTGTCATTGTTTAACCCTTTGCTGCCACTTTGTTATTCACCGGTATTGTACACTACAGGTATAATGCACCATATTGAGGCCAGGATATGGCAGTGTTGATACTAAGAGAGGAAGATGCCTGCCCGCATTTCCAGCCTCTTGGCTGAATAGGCCCAGAGGCTTAAATGTTCTTTTTCTTGTGAAACATAATCATAGCCATTTTGGATGCAGTAGCCAAAAAACACTGAGCCCATTTCAGAACTTCTCTCAGGCCTTACATGTTGCCATGCAATTAATGCCTGGACCACTATGTCAAATTCCTTTATGATTGTCCAATATCAGCTACATAGAGGGCCTCAAACCAGACTGATAGAGCACTAGAATAGTTAGTATTTCCAGAGTTACCTATCCAGAGAGAGAGCACACATCTACTGGATGTATAATCACTGCTGATCTCTTCTGATCTTGTTGAACAGTAACTCTGAGTTAAGTTTTAACACTGTGAATATCATGGCATCTTTTTTTAACAGGTCAAAAAGGAAAGTGCTTGGAAGAAAGGATTCTGGTGAAATTTCTGTGAGGAACAGATTGAGGGCTTCATCAAGTACTAGCAGCATATCCTCTGCCAGCAGTACATCCCAGCCAGTTAACGTTCCTCCTCCCACACCCATTGTGGCAAGTCCAGCATGCAGCCAGAGATCTCCTGGACTCATTTACAGGAACGCCAAAAAGTCCAACACTTCGAATGAAGAATTCAAATTGTTGCTTTTGAAAAAGGGCAGCCGGTCTGATTCAAGCTATAGGATGTCAGCCACAGAGATACTGAAGAGTCCAATTTCACCCAAATCTCCAGGAGAACTACCTGGGGAGTTTCTTCAGAATGCTGATGAGTCTTCCCCAGCCTTATCAAGTGCTGAGGCATTTGCTCCTCTCTCTCCTTGCCCTCCAAGAATAAATGCAGAAGGGTTTTCTTCCAAAAGCTTCCCAACATCAGCATCATCACGGGTAGGACGATCGAGGGCCCCCCCTGCTGCAAGCAGTAGCCGGTATAGCGTCCGCTGCAGGCTGTACAACACCCCAATGCAAGCTATTTCAGAAGGAGAGACTGAGAATTCCGATGGGAGCCCTCATGATGATCGGTCCTCCCAGAGTTCTACGTAGGCTACGTAACAGCTTTTAAATGGGGAGGGGGGAGAATCTATGTGAATATAAATGGGAGGACTTTGCATTTGCTCGGCTCATGTGAATATAAAGGCCAGTTCTGTAGCAGTCAAATACCCATACAGGGCAATATTGATGCTTGAAAATGCTAAGGATTGCTAAGAGACTGCGAGGAAAAAAAAAAGATGATTCTGTAGCTATTTATTATTTCACATTTTCTTAAGTAGAAACATATACTAAATGGTTAACTTCCATTTCATTTCGCCCAGGTTTCCTGCCATCAGTGTAGATTTACATTATCCAATTGTCAAATTCCCTCTTCCCCTCCAAAGATGCCATTTAGGATTTTTAAAAAGAGGTCCCATTGTCTTCACTCTTGTGCTTCCCTAGGGAAAAGGAAACATTAAATTGCTTGAGGAATTGGTATTTTTTTACACTCGAACAAATGGAAACAAAATTTAGAAAAAATGAACAAAACAGATGTACATATCCATATTTTTGATAAGTATTTGTAAATAGCATTATCCGAGAAAGGCAGAAAAAAGTGGTTGGTGGCAAATGGCAACTTTGTTGAAAGACAAAAAAAAGATAAAGGTAATGACTGTATTCTGTGAATACAAATTTCATATCAAATATAATTTACGTATCTACCACAACCACTCAGCAGTTCAATAATTAAGCCTCTAACATTAATTTTAACACTTGAAATAGTGGAAATCACCAATATTAATAAAAGATTCTCAAATGAAATAGTATCTGATTAATTTTCTTCCAAAAATTGAACTCTAAACTAGTGAATTTCAAAGTTCATATTGTGGCAAGAGCCTCACTGGCACTACAAATATCGGTCCAGTAACTGTTATTTTCTGTTGCAGCTCCTCCTGGCAAGAACCCTAAGAAGTGCAGTCCTATGAAGGGTGGGGGAGTTATACTGAGGATTTCTCATTCTACTAATCATGGTTTCACATAGCATTCTCACATTTATCAGTTGGCTTGCTAGAAAGCATCTCAAGATGCAAAAGGTTTAGGACAAGTAACATTTCTTGAACCGTTCCTGATTGTATCTGATGGTGTTCTCAAATTTTGCTGTAGACATAATTGGTGATCAATAATACGACTGAAACGTCTAAAAACAAGATACCACATGAAAAGATAAGTTTTTTTAAGCTTATATAGAACATGAACAGAGGATACAAAGTAAGTATTGTATGCAGAGGTCAGAGGGAAGGAAAGGGAGAATACAGAAATATAAGTGCATAGCAACAGTTAAAGATTAACTTAACCAGAGAGATTTCTGGGGTAGGAGGTAGTCACAGAAAATAAGTAATAGCTAGCAACAGGGTCCATAAATAAATAACAGTAAGGAAAAATACATAACAGAGATGTAGGAAAAGCAAGCGTTAAAAAGCAAACAACCAATAAGCACCAAGATACATTATGTATTTAGTAATCCAAATTTTTTTAAAAAACCTAGAGAACCAATTCAGTTATAATTCAATAATTTTACATTTGAGGGGAAGTAGGAAAGGCAAACCAATGGGGGGGCCCTCAAAAAGAGCAAATTGTATCCAGATCTTTGTGCAGAAAAAATAAGGATCACCAATACTGTATGCAAAAAAATAACAAGATGAAATTCCCAGGTGTTTAGAAACTCTGAGCTGACCAAATGGAAGATAAAATAGGAAAGATTAATCAATAAATCAATATTAACCAACAGTAGACAAAAATAAGGGAAGTGTGAAATAATCAGCAAAGATTGGCTGATTTTACCAGCATTTAAAAGCAAAACCCAACAGACTATTGACCTAATATTTATTATTTATAAAGTAGCTAGAGACTATTGCTGTTTGCTATTGATAGCCTCTGAACAGACAAGGAGAGAGAGGAATAAACATCTGAGATTTTGCTTCCAAATAAACCTAAGTCGAGCTGGGATATGTGACTAGGTCCCATATTCCCCTCATTATTCAAAGTTACAAATGGGAGCTGGGGCATTGTAGATGGTACCATTGGCATGTGCAGGGATATTTCCAGAGTGGGAGTGAAGAGGTTTGGCAAAGATAATAAACTAGCTGGAGAACAGAGGCACCATTCTTGAAGATTTGGTGACAGAGAATTGGCAGGGCCTGGGCAATCAATCTGAGCGGCAGTATAACATGGCCTCTGAGACAATTGTACTCTAGGCTGAAACCATTGTGGGTTCTTTTTTCTTTCGTTCCCTGCATCCCCTCTAGCACTTAATTATGTAACTGGTGGTACTCTTAATTTACTTATCATTCCCAAATACTTCTTGTGTCTTTTAAAACAACCCACAATGTGCCTGGAAATTAGATACCAGCAGACTACACTGAAGCATTGTCATGTGCCCCAAACTCTTCTCTCCCCAAAGCAAAAGCGGTAGAACAACAGTGGCCTATTTGCAATGGCAGCAGAAACAATTCTGCAGCCATTTTGTAGATATTATGTCACTTTAAGATGAGGTACCATCTTGCTACTTCTCATCCTACCTCTGACAGTTTCGAAATACCAGGAGCTTCCGCCAGGAGGGTGGAGCACGTTTTTATGGAGAAAAGTTACGTCTGGAGATTTTAGTAAAGGCGACAAAACAGAGATCTAATTGCACTGATACAGAAAATGAATCTGTGCAATATAATGAATACAACTCTCATTGTTCTTGCATTATTCTTAATCAGAAGAAAATTTCCAACAGCATCCCTTTAACTACAAGAAGGTGTGCTCTAATAAACACTCATGCAGGATTAACTGAAGCCAACAGGATTTTTGGACAGGTATACATGGAAAGCCTCAATGCCTTTCAATTTGTTTTAAAGCGGGAGGGGGGACCTCGAGCCCGCCAGATAAACTGGACTACAATACCCACAATTACTTACTACTGATTTTGTTGGCTGGGGCTTTGGGGAGTCACTGTCCACACAATACCTGGAAGGTCAAGGACTTGCCAATGTATTTAGAAGGGACTAAAATATGATCTTTTCATAGATTTGAGCTTGTCTCAGCTCCTGCCAACCTAGCAGTTCAAAAGCATGTAAATGCGAGTAGATAAATAGATACCACCATGGTGGGAAGGTAATGGTGTTCCGTGTCTAGTTGCACTGGCCACGTGACCACGGAAACTGTCTTCGGACAAACGCTGGCTCTACGGCTTGGAGACGGGGATGAGCACTATGCCCTAGAGTTGGACATGACTGGACTAACTGTCAAGGGGAACTTTTACCTAAAATATGAGCAGCTAGTATAAGAGGCACAGCATTTAATACTCTAAAACAATCCTGTTAGTTTTGACATTGTCCTCCTCTGACTGGAGTCAAAGAGAAGACCCAAATAACCTATGTCACATGTCCTTCTGGCACACTTCTTGCTTACCTGTGCCACATTCCCTGACCCAGGTCCCTACCTAGTCTCTAAAGCAACATTCTTCATATTAGCATTAAAAATTAAAGTCATGGACCCAAGATCTAGTGAATCGGGTGACAACTGTCATGGAAAGCATTTCTCATTTGTATCCCACCTTTCCTCAAAGGCTGCCCAAGCAGTATATGTGGCTCTTCATCTACTTTATCTTTTCAATAAAAGTCCAAGGAGTAAAGTTAGGCTGAGAGACTATGACTGGCAAGAGTCACCCAGTGAAACCTGAAATATCAACCAATTTTTAAAGATAGGGTTGAAGAGAATAGTAAAGCACTTCTGAGTACTGCAGACCTGGAAAACCTTAGAAAGGGTCTCCAGAATTGACTTGACAGTATTTAATTGTTATTATTAGCATTTACTAAGGGCTCTAATACACTTATTCACAGTTCTTTGGGCATTCACGTATGCTGCAGGAAGATTTAAAGCTGTTCATCGCTTACATACTGCTGATGACTATAGCTTTAAAGAATCCAACAAAATGCAGAAGACACATTATTAAAAGGATTATGGGTTGTATCTAGACTAAGATATAGAGGCAAGCCACTGAAATTGGTAGAATTGACTTCACATGGATTTGTGTAAATTAGGCTGCAGTTCTAACCAATGGCTACATTCTTCAAAGCTACTAAAGCTGCTAAAATAAGGACTCTCCCGAGCAGAGTGTTCCCTAATCTGGAGGGGTTGATTTGCACTAGATTTTGGACATTTGTGAAGTTGCTGTTTTTACAGATGCAGAATTAAGAGTTTTTTGGGGTGGCCTAGAGGGGCAGGATTGTAATTTCTATTTCTCTGGGAGACTGCCCTCACCTTCAGAAAACCTCTCTTGTTCTGGTCAACAGACACATGAAGAAGAGAAACAGGAAGTATATTGGCAGTGTACAAGTTACAACCACAAGTAAAGTTACTAATAGCAGAATTTGTAGATTATGAGGGACAAGTAAGGAGAACAACAGCAGTGAGTGAGGAGCCTTCAAACAGAGAAAGAAAGAGAGAGCATAGACTGACCTATGTTTATTCATTTAGGCAGGCAGGCGCCTGGGGCATAGGCTGCCACTGTGCACCACAGCAACCAAAAGTATCCTCCCCACCCCACCTTCGCATAGTCTGTGAGAGTGACAACAAGCTGAACCAAGTGTATACTAAATTTGTGGGCCACATGGCCAATGATCACAGCGAGCCATTGAAGGGCCTGTCCATCACACATCTCTGCCATAGAGGGTGGGGGTGGGGGAGGTCCTCTGGCCTACAGGATTTGACCCATCAGCTCCGGTGCCCTCCTAGAGTTGGTAGCAAGGTATCCACCTTTCCTGCCTATTCTGCCCTATCTGAGCCTCCACAGTGTTCCCCATAATAGACTTCCTCTGCCTTGGTCATTTTGAAAACATTTACAAACTCAGGAAAAAATTGCACATTTCTTTTGAATTTGAGATCAAAACATCATGAACTCTTAGTTAAAACATTCTGGTTTTGGTTAAACCCTTGACAATATATTAAGATACTAAATCACTCATTTATATGAGTGAGTGACCATTTATCTACCAGGGACCACCTGCTCTGCCATACAAAAAGCCTAGAAATGAATGTGGAAATTTCTTCTCCAGGCAAAGGGCTTGCCAACACATGCTATGATTTTATTCATTGTCTAAAAACATTGGGAAATGGGGACAAGCTACTTTCTCATAAATGATTTGACAGAATAGCACCTACACATTTTGTACACTATTTCAATTATGTAAGGGCTAGGGGCAGCCACTGAAAATCTTAAGAATTGTGGTAAATTCAGGGGAGCACCTCAATGACTCCATCCTTAGGTACCCAGTGACAGGGTGGATTTGATTTAATTCATAGTTTAATCAGATTTTTTTTGATAATTTAAATATAAAATCATTTTTTCATTTAGATTGTGATTTAAATCAATTTGATTTTTAAAAATCATTGATTTTTATCAACTCTGCCCACTGGACATACAGCAGGCTTCTGCCTAGCCGTGATGCTCACCAGTTCCACTCATATTTTGGGAATCAAATTGGATAGCTCCATACATGATGCCCTGAACTCTTCAGAGGAATGACACACAGGCTGTGAAGGAGACAGACGAAACATATGTTGTGATAACTAATACTACAGAATTTTGAAAAACTGCCAGCGCCTTGCATCTTTGTTAATTATCTTGATAGAACCAAGGAGGTACTTAGCTCTGCCACAAAACTACAGTTCTTGGGGTTCCTTGGGGAAGCTGCAATAATTTAACAGATTCCATACCGATTTAAATTTGTAATGCCAGTATAATTGTTGTTTGCAATCAAACACATTTTAATGGGGGGGGAACCTCTTCTTCTAAGGTAAAATGTAAGCTGTTACGCTTTTGTCTGATGTTAGGCGCTTAATTTTGACAATGACTGTAGAGAGGGAGCCAGTATAAGGAAACAGTACTTGTTTTCATATTATTATTACTACTGCTAGGCTGTTGGGAGACCTAGTCATAACCTAATAATTAAAACCCTGAAAAAGAATTGGTTTCATGTTTGCAAAGTAAACAACTACGAAGCATG